AAGCCACGACCACGTGTCATGGCAGGGAAAATAGCCACGGATCCTGTTCGTCACCTGATGCGGAGTTCGCGGATAGAAACAAAATTTTGCGAACGGGGCTGTTCGTGACCCGAATTGGTCGTGAACAGAAGCGTTCATGACCCGAGGTTCCACTGTATCAGTGTTTCTCAACCTTGGCCACTTGAAGATGTGTGGACTTCAACTCCCAGAATTCCCTAGCCAGCATGGAATATAGTGGTATATACTATTACAGAACCTGCTCTGTCTTAATTCCTCTCTCTGGGATTTCTTCTACTTTTTTTTCCTTTCTGTTGTTGCTTTTTAATGGCCAGCATGTAGAGCTCTTAACTTTTCCAAGTTGTGCTTTTCCTTACTGAATCTCTGTGCTTTTTTTTTCTCTGGACCATCACTCCCTTTGAAAGAAAATGGCCACTGCACTTCTCTATACACTGGTGGCTGCAGAGCTCCAAAAACAGGCTTCTCCTCCCACACCTGTGTCAACCCTGCCCTGCTGACGCTGGAGAGAAGGCTCCAATGGGAGGGAAAGGAAGGAGCACAGAGACCTGCAATTTTCTCAAGCAGCCTGCTCTTCCACAGGACTATCAATCCATTTATGAGAATATTATTCTCTTTAAAACTGAAAGGTATAAATGTGAAGCTTATACTTTTCTGGAAGTTGGTTTCAGTAGAGAAACTGGCCATATCAGGTAAATGCTCATGAGGATTAATGCCCTAGAATTTTCAAAAAGCTCCCTGCAAATTCTATCTCAATTTCCCAGGATTATTCCACAAGGTTTAAAATCCAAGGAGTCAGTGAATCAAACCAGGACTCAGAAAAGACCAAGTCAATCTAAGTCACTTCTTGATATCAATAAATCAACCATAAGTCTTCAAGAAAGCAGCATCAAAATGGACCAGAAGTAGTTTAGTACTTCAGAACTTGTTTTTCTATAGTATTGGATTAAAACAAAATTGATTGTAAAGAAGCTGAGAGAGGTGGATCACGCATCCCATTTCTGTGGATGAAATCACATACTAATTTCTATTATGTTCCTTATTTAGAGCATTTCAGGTTATGCCTGTAGAATTCCTTGTCACTGTGCTTTACGTAATTTTACACTGCCAGTAAAATAAATTCCCTGTCTTTTAAAAAGCCAGTTGCTAAGTTCCTATACCATAGGGATTGGGCTGATTCTATGACTAGAAACAAGCTTCTAAAAACAACAACAAAATTAAGAAGCGTATTGGGAAATAATAAGGGAATAAACAGTTACTTTTCAATAAGAGGATGGGATCCTAGTTGAACGGTAAGCATCCTAGTTCTGATATAGGCAGGAGATTCTGCAGTGGGGGAGGTGTCAAAAATATCAAGATGGCAATGGCAATCATGTGATTTAAGTCACCATCTTGACTTCTTTGACATCTCCCCACTGCAGATGCCCCTGAATAGAGGACGTCCTAAAATTTAGTGGCTCAATAGCCAATTTCCATCTCTGCAATTTTTTACTACATTTAACAAAAGCAAGAGTGGAAATGGATGCATTAAATATGCTACTGTTTCATTATACTGTATTATGCCTCCAAAAACGTTATGGGCACTTTTAAATAAAATCAGAATTTAAAAAGACGTCAGTAGCCCTCATTTTTAGCAAGAAGTGATATTTGATACAAACAGGAAAGTATAGTGGCTACAAATCTGTGGATCTCTATCCGGATGATTGAGTGGATTTTTGAAAAATACCAAAATGTTTGAAACAAATTTAACATTTTCACAAATGATATTTAACATTGGTTAATATTTTGGATCTGATTTTCCTTTATTCAGATCTTTGCTTTTCATATGTTGTATCTGTTCTATATACATTTTTCTTGTAATTTTTGAGCAATTGCATTTCATTTTTCAACCTACATTTCATATCTTACTTTAATAACCTATATTATTTATGCATAATCTTTATATTTTCCTGGCTTGCTGAATTGTGTTGTTTGCATTGGAATAGGTTTTTTCATACTCTTGAATTTATCATCTACTTGGTACTACTTAAATAAAAACAGCTTGTCAAGTCATAGAGAGTTGGGTGGCATACACGTTTAATATATTATTATTATTATTATTATTATTATTATTATTATTATTATTATTGAAGTACAGTAATACCTCGGTTCACGAATGCTTCTGTTCACGAACAATTCAGTTCATGAACAGCAGCATTCGCAAATTTTTGCTTCCGTTCGCGAACTCCACATCGGGTGACGAACACGACCCGCAGCCATCTTCCCTGCTCTGACACGTGGTCGTGGCTTC